GTTAGGGTCTGGAACTTACTGCCACAGGTGGTGATTTCAGCAAATAATGTGGAATTGTTCAAGAAACTTTTGGACGATTTCTTAAGGGACCGTAATATACAGGGGTACGGGTACTCCTAGAATGAGATCCTAATAGGTTGGACTTGATGGACTAATGTCTTTATTCAACCTCAAATACTATGTAACCAAAAAACTGGGTAATAATAAATGTTTCCTAACATAATGTAAAAAAAAACTTTTTTTTTTTTCAAAACTTTCTGTAATTTTTACTAATTATAGTAAAAAATAAAACCCCCAGTGGTGATTAAATACCACCCAAATACAGCTCTATCTGTCCCCAAAAAATGGTATAAAAATGGTACAAAATTCACTTCAGTACAGCGTTGCATGACGGAATAAACTTCAGTCAAAGTACCACAGTGCTGAATACTGAAAAATGGCCTGGCCAGGAAGGGGGTCTAAACACCTGGTCTTGAAGTGGTTAACATGGGCTTTCAGTGCGTTCCAGGCATTTGCATGCATTTTTTATGCGTTTGCATGCATTCCAGAGCAGGTAAAATAGGGCTTGCTGCAGTTTTTTCACCTGCTCTGGACCTGCTCTGGAACTGAAGCAAAAAATACCATTGGAATACATTGGACGCAGTTTTGATCCGGTCTGCAACTGCTCTGCACCTGCTCCGCGCTTGGTGTGAACAAGGCCTCAAGGAACTCCTGCTAAAAATGGTTATATCTACACCACACTGTACAGTTGCATGATCAGCAAATGAAGAATGTTTTAAATAATAAAGAAAGTGGTGGTGCTAGAACAGTTGACCCCCAGGTCACATTCACCTGCTGTATACAACAAAATTATTTTCAGTAATAATCTTGAAATGAAATGAATAATAACAACAACAACAATAATAATACCTGAAAAGAAATGCAGACAGTGAAAACTGTAGTGTCCCCTTACATTAGTGGCCAGTGTAGATATAAACCCTTACATTGCTGGCCAGAGGAGCCTGCCTCCTTGTATTGGTGGTCAGTGTAGGTATGAGATCAATTTGCCATTGGATACTGCTTGAAAGCACCCCTAACAACCTCAAGAAAAACCCTGGTTGAGAAAAGCTGGTGGCTACACAGCTGCCCATGTAAAAAGGGCAGCTGTGTAACTACCACTAACTCTATAAGGTCGTTGGTTAATCAAAAGATCAAATGCAGTTAATCGTATGTGTCTAAAGAGGACAAATCTCTTCAGTGGGGTAGCAACAAAAAAAAAAGGAAGAACATTTTCTTAAATTGGGCTTCATCCAGGATCACCAGATTACTGACAAAATGGAGTGGGGGTTGTCCGACAGACTACAGCAATGCCTGGATGAAAAGCTCAAGTATTGAGCAGGTAGGCTGTGCTCCTGTATAAAGTATCTAAAAGTTTCATTTATATTTGACTGAAGTGTTCCTTTAAAAGCTGAACTCCAGGCACTTCACCTCCTATCCAAAGGATAGTAAGTTTATCTTCTTTCCTGCACAGGAGGAGTGTGTTCATGTCACTGCCTGGATGGCGTGGACTTTTCATATTGCCTGTCCAGCAGCAGGTTCCTCAGAAGACTGAATTGGCATAATGACATCAGGAAGAGGCAGCCAGTATACTACAGCACTGGATCCACCCCCAGAAGCTACAGTGAGCAATGGACATGGATGGCAGACTTAGGCCCCTTTCACATGGGTGCCTGTCAGTTCTGATCAGCAGGGGATACATGCACAGATCCCTTGCTGATCGGAGCAGTTCAGAATAGATGTCACACTTTTACATCTGTGTCCATCCAGTTTTTTTTTCCTTTGTCTTGTGATGAAGGGAAAACAAACTGAATTTACCAGACGGGGAGTTGGATGTAAACTGACATGTCTCCATTCACGTCAAATTACCCTGAACCGCCACAATCATTTCCAGCTAAACGGAACTCTGTTCTATTTTGTTTTTCCGGACCTGGCCAGAGTCGGGGGTAATCGGAGGTAAATGAACGCATGTCCGTTTAGACCCAGCTGCCCATAGACTAAACACATTCGCTAGGAAAAAAACCTATTGAATTGGGGAGAGGAGGGCAATAGGGAGGGATAGGAGGGCAATAGGGAGGGGGGGATGTTCTTGCCCAGGGATGGGCTTTAAAGGACAACATCACCTTTAGTGCACTAAAGCCCTATTCATTCCTATGGGTAGCTTTACTCATGATGGCCTCCAGCAGTCCCTCAAAGTATGACTTACCCATAATAATGAATAGGGCCATGGCACACATGCAAAGTATTAGCATGTTAGATGAAAGATGGTTGTATTGTATAGGAAGGGAAGTATTATGGTGATACGATGATGGTATTAGGTAGGCTTGGATAATTCGTACCCAGGTGAGCTGTACTTAGGGGACCAATTTATTTATTAAATGATTACTTCTATGGATTCTGGACACAGAGCAGCGCCCAGCAGGGTGGAGAGAAAGTGACAGCCGGCCGAGCGCTGTGGGGAGGAGAGTGCTGTGAGCGGCCGGTGTCTCTCCTCCCACACCGCTCAGCCTCCTATCACAGTCCGGCAGAGTGGTGTGGGGGCGGAGACAGACCGCGCTGTCACAGGAGGCTGAGCTCTCCTCCTCGCATCGCTCACTCAGCCTCCTGTGACAGCTGTCAGAGAGGAGAGCTAGAGCAAACACTCAGTGATTGCTGAGTGTTTGTAGATAATTGAGGACATGGTATGTTTACTATATCCTCAATTATGAATGAATGGGAAGTGATCTACATCACCTCTTGTACATTCATAGTTGTGGTTATAGTAAACATACCATGTCCTCATCTTATGAATGAACAGGAACACTCGGAGGATTCCTGTTTATTGATAACATAGGATACAGAAAAAAAGACTTTGTGTCCTCAATCTCTTTTTCTACTTTAAAAGGGGTATATCAGGGGTCTGTTTAGACCCCTAATATTTCCAGGAGCCCCTAAAAGTAAAGTAAAAAATAAAAATATTTACTAAAAAATGAATTAATAAATAAAAATTAAAAAGTTTATAAAAATTAAATAAAAATAAAATATTGAAAAAATTAAAATAAAAACATTTTCGGTTTCGGCCAGACAATGTTTTTTATTTCGGTTTCGTTTCGGTTTTCAAATTTCTATTTCGGTGCGCCTCTAGTACAAACTCATATTTCAAAACCCTTCATAGTTCTCCATGCGCTTGAATGTGGATGCAGAACGCATGTACAGGGATAGTCGGGAAGATTTTGATAAGTAGCCAGGTGCGCCGAAGAGGCTGCAAAAGATATCGTGCTGATCAGGGATAGGTGGAAATAATATGATTGGAAAGGGGTAGGGAGGGACAACAAAATCAGGTGCAGTTATACCTAAAGGACAGCTGCACCTTTGATTTAAAAATCAGTATTGTAATGAGCCTAGTACACTTCTTAAATCAGCAATATCATTATTGTACTTTTTTTTTCCACATAAACTAAATTTATTTTGCCATGGTCTGTCTAATTTAAAGCAGACATCTTCGCCCGAGCTTCCTTTGGGTACATGATCTTCAGTCATCTTGATTGTCCGTGTCGGAATGATATAAGTGATGCATGCACATGGAGTTCATTTATTCTGGCTCTGAGGTATGCTGGGAATGTATACTAAGGTGGGCATGTGCAGCTCATTCTACAATATAAAGACGACTGCACACAGGCAGGTAAGTTTGTTTAATTGCAGAATAGATATGTCTCGCCTCTGATGCCAAAAAAAGGCCATTTTTTATTTCAACTACGTTCCAATTTGTTCACAAAAGAGTTTATTAAGTAGAAAAGTAACAAAGCAAAAATACAAGTCGATACTAAGCACTTAAGCACTTAAGCATAAAAAGTATAAGAACCAAGTTTTTTATCATCCTGAGGTAAAGGAGAAAGGAATCAGAAGCAATGCAATCTAACTTCGTTCCAATTTAAAGGCATATTCCAGTTTTTGCAAAAGAGTAATAAATGCACCCGTGGAACAAAATGTGCCGCTTATGTTCCAGATTTGATTTACTTTTTAAGTTTCCACTTAAAGATTAGTGCTTTGCAGCTGGGGATATTGGGTTGGCACTACATATTGAGTGTTTGTTTGAATAACTGCACCCATATTGCAAATAGAAAAAAATGTGCATTTATTACTTTGCAAGCGCATTCAGTGGACAGTGGGTGTAATGCACAGGCCCCTGCAGACTGTTTCTTCAGCCCCCCCATTTGTACAGATGTAAGGACCTTTGGTTATGGAAATGTAGAAAGTTATCAATGGTCTGCAATTCATTGACGTTGCCTCACTTGTACTCCATTGAGAACGGAAAATGCAGCTTTCCATTTCAATCCCCTGCGAGTCATGGCCTTCTAAAACTGCCAAAAAAAAACGTACGTTTCACTTATTTTTAACAGTACTTTGTTTTTTAAAAAATGTCATAATATCCTCATCCCTCTGCCCTGTAGTTCGCTTTAGCCATTTCAAAAGTCTGCAAAGACCATGATGTCAAAATATTTTTCATGATAGAAGACAGAACATCTCACTAATTAGTCCTTCTGCAATATATTAGCCAGTGTATTGGCATAGTGTAGCTCAGTATCTATTAAGAAGAAACAGGTAAAGATCCATAATAAAGCTTGCTGGAATCTTTGTATTGTGTGTTAATGAGCTGAAAACGATTCAGCAGTTTTTGTTTTCTTAACAAAACTGGAGTTTCACTCTAAAAACCATTGGAGAACCATTCCCTTCTCCCAAAGAGGATTTGTGCATCCTTTGCTCAACAATTAGCAGCACCTAACAAGGCTTTTTATAATGCAGCTCAGAGAAACACATGAACAAGGAACAGCAAAACTCCTGATTTCTTTTTTGTAGCCACATCCGGTCAATGTTATAGTCCCATATTAAGCACACTAGAGGCAATATCACATAATGCAGATCTACATAAAGGGTAACTGTACCAAGAGAATATGAATACCGTCACTGCTGAAATTCCCTTAACTGGCTGTCATGTTGATCCAACAGCTTCAGTAAACTCTAAATCACTGTACAGGAACACATGCATATCTAGGGTTCTAATCTAACTGCAATTTCCTAATCTGCATACCTAAAGTTGAACTCCAAGCACAAAAACAGGAACCTGTAACTGTTTCAAACTGACCAAGCCAAGCACAGAAGCAGATCCGTGCTAATGTGGTCAGTTTACATCCCTGGGATCGCTGCTAGAAGGTACAGGCACACAAGTGTCTATCTCCCCTGGTCAGTCCTGTGGCCACAGCCCCATCCAGCTGTAAGTACATCGACAGCGGCTCCCAGCTGGTTCCCTTACGTAGCACACACAGAAGAAAAGTAATGTTTTTCGGCCTAAATAATACTCTTGTATTACATTGGTCTTTTAATGCACTGTGTTCACAAATACTTTAACATCATCATTGTGCTGCACATTCCACCCACTACAGGCTTCCTGCAATATACTACAGGAGGGGGCAGATACATGACCAGTCGTCAGCAGCAGCAGTGACTGGTCTTTATTATAGGAAGCTCCTGCATAAAGGCAAAGTTTCACAATGGATTAGTGCACAGGCTGAAAGAAATACACAAGGCACAACAAGACTCAAGTAAGAATACACATAACTCTAGACAATATTTGCTTATTCCAGAACTCAGCTTTAAGGTCAGTGACCCAACAAAAAAGAAAAGCAAAAGAAGGAAGTAGATAAATACCTGTATTGTCTTCCCAAGCCCCATATCATCTCCAAGGATGCATCCAGTTGATCGCATGTAGTGCTCATACAGGAATCGAATACCATCTCTTTGGTAATCACGTAAATACCTATTAATAGTAAAAGGCACAAAGACTCCAGTATTTGACAGTGGGAAACTTGCAGCAGGGGCTGCAGGTTTCTGATCTGGGAAAAAGGGTTTTTCCAGGTCCTCATCATCAAAAATAGAAGTGTTCCAGCAATTATTGTAATCACTAGCTTTACAGAGATGTCTGAGTGGTATTCTCCTTTCTGTCGCATCCATAAATGAAACCACTGCATAGGATATCTCGTCTTCCTTATGCTCAATGGACTTCACAACAGCTTCTTTAAGCTCGTCATTGTCAGAGTAAGGGGCCAAGCACTTCTCATCAATATGCCATACGCCTACAAAAAAAAACACATGAAAGTGAGAAATGTAAATATTAGTACTAATATCAATCACAAGATTGTTTTTCAAAATACGAGTACAAATGTTAAAGATACATTTTCTGCAGGTGCACCATGATGAAGTTTCATTATTATGGAAATACATTATTATACACAAAATGGTGAACTGTAGCAAAATATTTATAGTTTACTAATAACCCGCAACAAGCATAATCTATCCCATCCTATATAATCATATCTGTAGTCAATATTGTTCAAGGCCAGCTATGGCTGAAGTGATACTTTAATTCTGCATTGCTGCTGGCAAATTGAATCATACGGAGGCTTCCTATATGATACATTTACAATTCCACTCAACTGTGCTAAGGAATGGTGTCATGCTTCCCAAACGGAAACTCAAAAACAAGTCAGCCTTCACTGTTCACTTCACTACAACCTTCATTTTTTTTACTTTTTAACGTTCACCTGACATGAGAAAAATATGGAGACTGGTAGTCTGGTTGTGTTTGCCTTTAACTGTTCTGAGTCACAAACCCAGAACTAGCATGAAGGACAAGAGTGGCAGAAAAATACAATAATTCCTCATTGGAGGTGCAAGCCCAGTTCACCCAAGCCAGCTTAAAACTGTAGACTGCAACCCCTCCCACCAACCCAATCAATGGCGGCAATTGAAGCGGGCGCTACTTTTGTGACATATATCTGTGAGGCGAATGTGCCTCTCTGCAATTGACTGGGTTGGGAGGAGGGGTGGCAGTCACAGCTCTGAGAAGGCTTGGGTGTACTGGGTTTGTACCAAGCCTAGCCTTGTCCCTATTGCTCATCATTATACTTGTCCTGGGTCAATGACTCAGAAAGTATTGAAGCCAAAGCATCGACATAACAGCCAGAGCACTCATGTATCTGAAAGGAGAGATCATAAATGGAATCCTACATATTTATTTCATAACAGGTTCCCTTTAAAACATGGGTAGCAAACCTCAGGCCCTCCAGCTGTGGTGGAACTACAAATCCCATGAGCCATTGCAAGATTCTCACAGACATGAGTCCCAAAGAGAGATGCATCATGGGATTTGTAGTTTCACCACAGCTGGAGGTTTGCTACCCCTGCTTTAAGACATCAGAGGGTTAGAACATCTGACAATGGTTTTTATCACTGTCAGTGCTTTTCTGTACTGGTGACAACTGTGCCCCCTGTTTCTTGTATAGTCATCACAGGGACAGGAAAAGAGGGAAAAGTCCCACTGATTTGGTCAGACACAGAAATAAAACATGTTGAAAATATTTGCTTTTCTCCACTCACAGCTAAAACTGAACAAAATAATGTCTAGAGGTAAGCTGAAATGCAACCATAGAGAATGCATATACTCAAGGTATATGAGCGAAGGCTTGTCATACATGTATAGATATCTCTTGTGCAGCCCATGGGATGAACAAGAGGAAATTATTTGTTTCCCAAATGGAGGAATCTCTCCTGCCGCCTTCAGGCAGCAGCGGCCTGGTAGTGACTGAATATGATTAAACGCAGTCACTTTTGGCTGCCAATTTTCCACCCGGGTCAGTCATTTTTAAATTAGCTTTTGTTGAGCCACAGTGGTGCTGACACCTGCTCAAATTTTGTGCAGAAATCATCTGAAATACAAGCCACGTATTGTCAGGGCCACAAATATAATGAAGTGGCCCCATGGGATTGTGTCATCCCCTGCACCCACTTAATTCAATTAAATTATTATTTTAATCCAACAATAGTTTTAGTCACGATAAGGTACAGTCTTCTGGAATTTTCCGTTGGGCTGTTTCTGGTTTCCCATTTGTCTGTTTCCAGGTGCCCTTAATAGTGTCATGTCAATTCTGCCTGGAGATGGCTGTCGCTAGGAAGATCTTTGGAAATAAGGTGGTCGTGATTAGTTACCTAAGTTTTGGAGGGAAAAGTAAACAACCAATCAGTTGTGGGACTCACCTTTAAATGTTTACGGTCAGAAGCTCTCTTCAGCAGTGATCGTCTGCAACACAACTTGCCCCACCTATCCTTTTTGGGGGTATTGTCGCCCACATATGTGGGTGGACAGTGTTAATGTTATATTGGACTGGTGATGAGTATGGCTCGAGTCTGGGTGACTGAGCTACTTTATGTTAACTGGTTTTAAAAGTTAATTCGTTTATATATTAGTGTTGTTGAATTTAAATAAAGAATTTATATTTTGCTTTTAGCCCCAATAAAGGGCCGCAGCCAATATTTTCCACTCATATCGTTTGTATAGTTTTTATTTATTCTGTCATATATTTTAATGTATTTATAGGTTGTGGGTGCGGTGGGGTTCTACAATCCCAAGCCAGCTGAAGCAGAATTGATGAGCCATTTTAGAGTTGCTTATGACAAGCTGAACGCAATCCAAAGTAATCATCAATAACATAACCCCACAGCACTTTAGTAAATTCCGCTACTGTTTACATGTATGTACAAGTAGACAGATCAGTCAGAAATCTGAGAAACAGAAATCTTTATCTGCACAATTGTTCCAAGCCAGGGTCAGCATGATGGTCATCCATGCAAATAGACTATCAGAGGGACAGGTCACCAAATGCAGCCTCCATTCCACTCATGTCAGGTTTTCTTTCATTCTATACAACAGAATTCCAGTGAAATCTACTTGCCTTGGCAATCCATTTTTACAGGATCCATGCTTCAACTTTCATGTGTCACTATGGATATGTGAACGACAGCCAGCAAACTTCTAACACAGCAATATGCATCTTTACAATGTGACTTGACACATTCATATTGTCAACAAATGTCCAGTCTTTCTATATGCATTGTAGCAGCAAAACGTGTCTTGTCCAGCAGAGATAATGCATGCAATGAACACTCAATGACGGTCTGCTTCGTCTATACATTGCCCCTTGTTATTAATTGTACAGGACAAGCATAGAGCTATCCCTGCAGAGACTGCCTTGCTCTTGCTTCCCATATGTAACCCAGTCCCCTCCTTCCTGTACACACTCGTGTAAAACTAGCCTGCACTTTCGCTTTCAACTTCGACACTTTCGTAATTTATTAAATTAGACTAGCGGTGCTCAAGGCTTTATAGGGAAAATTCCGAAAAACAAATACTGTTTCACAGCCCCATGAAATGAAACTGTATTTTATACAATTAAAACAAAGGTGAATAGAATTTTAGGCTTACTATCGAAAGTTCTGAAGTGTAATCCAAGTAAATGAATCAGCGTAGTAGACTGTGTTGTTCAGAAGAAGAGGGGTGTAGCTGCTCCTGTAGGTGCCCGTGCACTGTGTGCAGTACGAGATGGGAAGCTGTGTTTAATTATTGCACTTTTTGCAAAACAAAAACCACTGGATAGATGGATGTGTGTGTATCTATGTTTTTAAGCTGGAAATGGACATATTGCCATTAAAATAAATGTAAATGCTGTGTTCACTTTTTGCAGTTGTTACCATAAATAAATGAATACCTTCTGTGACTACTGTATATGTAAATGCTGTATTCATTTATTACAGTTAATTAAAACAAATGCAAAGCAGCAAATATATCTGCATCAAATCACAAATTGCTCAGCACTATCACTACAGCTGTACTTGTTATCTGTGCTTTAGTTACAAGACATAACCCTATGTATGGCCCCAGTCACACCAGAGCGGATGCATTCATGTGCGGTTTCCACGTGAATTTTAAAAGGGCGGTTTTGAGCATTTTTTTATCGCGTTTCAGCACTGGAACGCAATTAAAAACAAACAAACCAAAAACTTGCTGATCAGCATGTTTCCATTGAAATCTATATGTAATCTGGCTGGTCAGCGTGAAAAAAATAGCTCAGGGATCATTTTGGGCGGCAGGCGGTTTGGATCATTCGGAGACGTGATCCATAGGAATGACGAGGGATGCAAGCCAGTGCAGGGATTGGCAGAAGGGGGTTGCAGGCACTGAGCAGTTGGTCAGGTGGATGAGCCTGGCAGCTGCATTCATGATAGACTGTAGGGGGATAGCCTGTGTAATGGAAGGCCAATGAGGAGGGAGTTACAATAGTCCAGACGAGAGATAACAAGGGAGCGGATGAGTAATTTAGCGGTTTCTTTGGTGAGGAAGGGGTGTATTTTTGAGATGTTACGAAGGTGAAGGCGGCAGGATTTAGATAGTGATTGGATGTGGGGAAGAAAGGTGAGGTCCGAGTCCAGGATGACACTTAGAACCTTGGCATGAGGGGAGGGGTGGATAGTTGTGTTATCAATCTCAACCGAAATGTTGGGGGAAGGTACACGGGCGAGAGGAAATATCAAGAGCTCAGTTTTTGAAAGATTGAGATTTAAGAAGTGTTGTGACATCCAGACGTATATGTCAGTTAGTAGATTAGTGACACGCAAGGACACAGAGGGGGTGAGTTGTGGAATGGAAAGATAAATTTGAGTGTCATCGGCATGGAGATGGTATTGGAAGCCATTTGAGGTTATTGACTGACCAAGGGAGGAAGTGTAGATAGAGAAGAGAAGGGGTCCAAGGACAGAGCCTTGGGGGACCCCTACAGAAAGAGGGAGAGGAGGAGTTAGATTTGTAGGTGACACTAAAGGAGCGCATAGCTAGGTAGGAGGTAAACCATGAGAGAGCAGAGTCTTGTAGGCCAAGCGAGTGGAGTTTCTTGAGGAGCAGCGGGTGGTCAACAGTGTCAAAAGCAGCAGAAAGGTGTAATAGCAAAGGTAAGGAGTAGTGGCTGTTGTTTTTAGCAGATAGTAGGTCATTGGTGAGTTTTAGGAGGGTGGGTTCAGTGGAGTATATGGGGCGAAAGCCGGACTGAAACGGGTCCAAAAGGTTGTTATTAGTGAGGTGGCGACTCAGGCGGTTGTAGATAAGGTGTTCTAGTAGTTTAGAGGTGAATGGGAGTAAGGAGATAGGTCTGAAATTATTGAAGTTGGTAGGGTCCTGTGAGGGTTTTTTGGGTATTGGGGTGACCAGGGCATGTTTCAGAGGGGAAGGAAAGATGCCTGTAGAGAGTGAAAGATTGAAAATGTGAGTAAGAGAGTGTAGGATAGAGCAAGAGGGTGTCCGAAGTAGTTTTGAGGGAACAGGGTCTAGGGGGCAAGTGGTGAGGTGGGTGTCAGAGAGAAGCTTTGTAACCTCCTCTGTGGTGACAGGGTCAAAAGAGGAAAGTAACAAGTCTTGCAGAGACCTAGTTTTCCGCCACAGTCACTCAAGAGTGCGGCTTTGTCTTTTTTGATGTCTGGTTACTTCAGTATGCCATGGTTGTAGTGGACGTGGTCTAAGTCTGCGTGTAGTGAGGGGGGCTAAGGTGTCTAGGGAAGATGAGAGTGAGCTGTTAAAAACCTACTGTTAAGTAGCCAGGTCAGGGCAGGACAGATGTGAGATTTTGTCATAGAGGTAGTCAGTAGCAGAGTGAAGAAGAGAAGGGTCGAGGTGGCAAAGGTTTCTCTGGGTGACATTGTGCCGTGTAGAGGGATTCTGGGTTGGGGACAGGGTATATACATATATATATATCTATATATATATAGATATATATATATGTAAACCCCAATCATCCATCACGTAGGTCCCCCTTTAACAAAACAGGCTTGACCCATCTAGGCATGGACCCCAGTAGACCTTTCAAGGTATGTTGTGGTATCTTCTGCCACCAAGGCTTCAGTAGAATATGTTTTAAATAAGAACTATGGGGTAAGTGTTTTTCCCCATAGTTCTCCTCAGGGTCATGGGAGGACATAAGCTAGTGTCCTCCCGTGACCAAAGCTCAGTATACCGCGAGCTACAGTTTGCTGAGTATACTGAGACCGCCACAGCCGGGACGGATCCCTAAATTACTGTCCAGATCCACCCAGCTGCGTGATTGACAGCTGGCTCTGCCTATCTAGAGGCAGAGCCAGCTGTACCTGCCCCCTCCCCCGTTCGTTCCTCAAGTCAGCGCTGGAGGAGCGGGGGAATCCCTGCAGGGAGCCGTGAGTGACAGTCACGGCTCTCTACAGGGACAGGATCGAGAAGTGAGCGAGCGACGATATGTGCTCGTTCACTTCCCGATCTGTGGAGCCGACCTGTGACAGTCTCATTGTCACACGTCGGCTCGAACTATGAGGTTGAGTGAAAATCAGTCACCTCATAGTTCTCCTTTAAGTCCTTTAATTTGCGAGGTGTGGCCCCCATGGATCGGACTTGTTTTTTCAGTACATCCCAGAGAGGCTCAATTGGAATGAGATATGGAGAATATGGGGGCCAAGTCAACACTTAAAACTCGTTGTGTTCTTCAAACCTCTTAAGCCATTTTTTCAGTGTGGTAGGGCTCATTATCCTGCTGAAAGAGGCCAGTGCCATCAGGGAATGCCGCTTCCATGAAGGGGTGTACTTGGTCAAGAAACAATGTTTAGATAGGTGAAACATGTCAAGGTTACATCCACATGAATGGCAGGACCCAAGGTTTCCCAGCAGAACATTGCCCAAAGCATCACACTGGCTCTGCAGGCTTGCCTTCTTGCCATAGTGCATCCCGGTACCATCTCTTCCCTAGGTAAGCGACACACACACACCCAGCCATCCACATAATGTAAAAGAAAACTTGATTCATCAGACCAGGCCACCTTCTTCCATTGCTCTGTGGTCCAGTTTTGATGTTCAGATGCTCATTGTAGGTGCTTTTGGCGGTGGACATGGGTGAGCCTGGGCACTCTGACCAGACTGCTGCCCCATAAGCAACAAACCGCAATGCAGAAGGTGTTCAGACACCTTCCTATCACTACCAGCATTACCTATTTCAGCACTTTGAACTACAGTAGTTCATCTATTGGATTGACTATACAGGTCAGCCTTGGCTCCCCATATGAATCAATGAGCCTTGGTCATCCATGACCCTGTCGGCCGAACACCCTGCCCATGTTTAGGGCATGCGGCCTGATAAGGTGCAGGATGGGGGCATATGATTGTCCCCCCCCCCCTTTCCTGCGTTTCCAGGCTGCTGCTCAGATTGAGGGTCTGGTAAGGGATGCTATAGGGTACCCCACGCTTTTTGTTTTGTTTTTGTGGCATTGGGATCCCAAAATTCCTACCAGACCCTTCGGGGGGATCCCATGCTGATTTTTTTAATTAATTGTGAATGTGAATAACTCAATCCAAATAGATCCGAACACAAAATATCGTATCCATCTGAAATCCAAATAAAGAAAATTGTACTAATCCAAATTTCGGATCCGATAACGAAAATGAATAAAAAAATCCGAATGGATCTGAAATGAAAACCAGACCAGTAGCTGAAACAGCAAGCGAGTTTGTGGTTATTAGTTTATATTGAGCGGCACTGCTCTATAAATGCATGTAAAGAGTGTACAATACTGATAAAAAATAAATATTGAAATGAACAGAGGAATTGTTCACTGAAAGAGTTGCCACAACAGCATTTTACATATTTGTTATCACAACGGACACATCACTATTCACAAAGTTTTCTTAATTGAAGCACAAAAGGACTATTATTGTACATTTTTTGTTATTATGTTTTCGTACAGAAGTGGATAATATTTATAGAGGTTTTTTTCATCAGTATTGTACACTCTTTACATGCATTTATAAAGCAGTCCCATTTAATATAAACCACTCTGAGTGGTGCATACATCACTATCTTGGCACAGCTGCTTACTCACTAGAGGTTAATCACAATCGTAGCATAGCGGTTTATGCAGGAGCAGGAGGTAGCAATATTGGAGCAAGGACAAGTATTGTCTGTACCAAA